TCGAAAAACGGCTCGGAGATCCAACACCTAGGACCGCTGAAGTGATACTTAAACCCCGCATAAATGCTTCATTAGTGAGGGATCCTTTATCACCGCTCAATTGCCCTTTGCTGATGGGCTGGATGAGTTTCCTGAACTTGTGGTGCGCTTCCACCGCATATCGGCGGTCAGAGTCGTGGGAAAGCTCATCGACGAGCGACAAGGTCCTGATGTCAGGTGGTGTGGTTGGGATCTTGAACATGACATGGTTGCTCGTCGCTCTCTTGCACCGTGCTGCAACAGGCGGACATGTAGAATAGGGTGTTCATAATACCGAGTGCACACACGTAGTTTGCTTGGCTATTGTTGATTCTAGCAAGAGCAATTCTTCGAGAGAATGACACTGCCACACTCATATCTGGACTTTCTATACACTCAAAATACCCGTGACGGTTGCATCAGTCAAAGCTTGTGACGCCCAGCGTAGTGCCACCCATGCTCCTTCTCGACTACTGGATCTGCCTGCTCTCATGAGCGACGGCTTTCGCTCTCCCTGCTTCGAGTCGAGCAAAAGTGGATGGTCTCCCTTTTGGAATGATGACATCTAGCCGCGGCTAATGGCTTGAGACCTTGGCTTCAGGTTTCGCTGTCCTGAATCGTGTAGCCTGAAGATGAGGATTTATTTCAAGACGGCTGGAGGTAAGACATACAGGTTCAGTTGGCTACGCCAGTGCAGCTCATCCTGTTGAGCCTGTCAGGTGTGGGATCCTCTTGCATGCATGCGCGTGACACATCCGACTCAGACACCGGGATTCCAAATGCAGCGCGCCAAGCATGCGGCTGACAAGTGTGGCTGGCTGTGCCCCCCAAAACGGACCAGCTGCCCGTCCAAGCTGAACGTTAGATTGCATCCCTGTCCTCGCCCGTAAAAGACATCATCGTTCCTCTCCCCGCATAACCCGCCATGCTGGTCCTGGATGTGTCTCTTGAGGATAGCAGTTCGGATCGATGGCAGGTGAACGGTAAATATAGGTAGATACGGGAGAAGGCGGAACAAATGCCGCATCAAGTCCGGCAGACACCACGAATCTGTATCTACGGTCCCTGCTCTGTTGGAGTAGCAAAGAGAACACCCATCCATATACGAGGAATGTAGACTCAGTAGACAAGACAGTTACGTTCCACCACACGCCCAGAGCATACGGAACCGAGCTGGGCATGTCTCCACATCCCACGAGGATAAACCGGCCTAGGGCCGGCCCGGGGACGCGCTGCGCTAGCTGCGGGTGCTGGTGGTTTGAGGCTTGAAGAGGCACAGCGAAGGTTGGGGCCGCTCCCGACTAGATTCCTGAGGTATTCTCAGATCTATCAAGAATCTGCGAGTGAGTAGGACGTCACTCAACCATGTCGATAAGTATGAACCTTACTGAGCCTAGCTCCAAGACATGTGCTGAAGCTATTCACGATCCGGATTTTGGTGGGCACCTTGTTGCATCTCATCAGCCGTCTAGAGGTAACCTGAAAATGTCCTAGACCGGCATGGGGACTTCTTGGTGCAATAATGCAAGGGTCTTCTATTGTCGCTTTCACTCAGGTCAGCCACGAGTTGCCATCGTGGTTGCCTGGGTTCGCGACGACAGGCTCGGGAGGATCGCGTTCCATTGGTCCTGGATTCCGAAAGACGGCATTTCGTGGCCTGTAATCAGGTAAATTAAGGTGATTGATGACTGGCTGGTGGCGCGTAGCCGGCAAGTGCTATGAGCCCCAGGCATATCACATAGCACGTGGGGCCTCCATCATCAGACTATTGACTCCGCTCAGCTCCGTTCCGTCCAGGTGGCTTTGTGCCGAACCGCGGCCCTAGTGTGCTCTGAACCTTGTTCATGTTTTTGAAACAGCCCATCACAGCTGAAAGTCGAGTGGAAAATCACGAGTGGCCCTTCGAGTCATCTATAAATCACCGTGGTATCTCCTAAATCTTATAAGTTTTTCTTGAGCTGCAGGAGTATTCTCATCACAACAGCACCGCTCTGATAATCCATCTTCCACTCCAAAGATCTCTCTCGGCCGGAGCCAAGTCACGATGGAGCTGGTCGCGCGCTTCTGGGCGACCGTGACTTATGTCATGAGCCTCCTGACGTTTTCGTCGGTTGGCCCAGGCGACATTTCTCAACGCCCTCTACAAAACTTTCCTGGCTCTCTCAACGGCTTTCCTGCTGTGGAGTCCGGTCCAAAGTATCCTGACTTTGGCCCTCCTGGAGGCGATCCCCGTGTCGACTTCGTGTGCGAATACCCTGAGATGAAAGGCTGGCAATCTTGTTCAACACCAGAGAACCGAGAATGCTGGCTCCGCCATCCCGATGGAAGAGAATACAACATCACGACAAACTATGAAAATGAAGCGCCTAAAGGTATCGATCGATACTACAGCCTCGATGTCGCCAATATGGACATTAACCTTGACGGCCTCAATACCCACGCCTCCTTGTTCAACAAGACGTATCCCGGTCCTTGGATTCAGGCTTGCTGGGGCGATGTAAGAGACACCCCCACCGCACGTTCGGTTGACTGACAACTAATGTACGGATATTCGTCGCGCGACAGAGGATTCATGTCAATGTGACAAATTCTCTGCCTCACAATGGTACCAGTATCCACTGGCACGGCATCCGACAGCTCAACAGCATGCACATGGACGGCGTCAATGGCATAACCCAGTGTCCCATTGCGCCTGGGGACTACTTCGTCTACAGTTTCAACACCACGCAGTACGGCAGCTCATGGTACCACAGCCATTACTCTGTGCAATATGCCAATGGCCTGCAGGGGCCACTTGTATGTTCGCCGCTGATGAGACACACTGGTGTGTGGACTAATCAGCGACTTTGATGCTAACACGTTGTTGTGCGCCAGACAATCCATGGCCCGTCCTCCAAGCCTTTCGACACTCCCGTCCAGCCTATCATTCTCACAGACTGGGGTAAGCTTGAGCTCGATCAGGCAGTGAACTCATGTACTCAAATGTATCGCATGGCTGACAGTTCACAGGACACAAGAGCGCGTTCGAGTCAGTGTACACGAACGACCTCGGGTCGCCAAGTATTCTTCTGAATGGCAAAGGGAACGTGACCAGATTCAACAACAACGTCACCGCTAAACTCGAAGTTCACAAGCCCTATGAACTCGACTTTGTCAAGAGTGCGGGCGGCCGTCCCAATAGATACCTGCTGCGAATCATCAACACTTCCTTCGAGTCCACATTCGTCTTGTCCATCGACAACCATTGGCTATGGATGGCGAGTGCCGATTTCGTGCCCATTGTGCCCTATCGGAACACGTCTCTATTGATTGGCATTGGACAACGGTACAACGTTATAGTCGAGGCCGACCCTGACTTTACTCTCACCAAGCCTGACAACGACGACAACAACTTCTGGGTACGCACCTGGCTCGCCGAGGGCTGTGGTATTAAAGGCCGCTCTCATGGATACGAGAAGACCGGAATACTTAGATACAACAAGGCGAGCAAGGCCGAGCCGACATCCAAGCAGTGGACAGACGTGGCCAAGAAGTGCTCAGACGAGCTTGCCTCGAACCTCGTTCCCATCCATGAATGGAAGATCGACAACCGTGTCAACCCTCCGGACAACACTGCAGACGAGCGCTTCCGCCTCCATTTCAACGGTTCGGCCAACGAAATTGACGAAAACCCATACAGCGACCAATTCTACTTCCCATTGGCTAGATTTTCTTTCGATATGCGGAAATCATCAGACTTCGCACCACTCCAAGTTGACTTTGCCGATCCCATGTTCTTTCACTTGAACGACACCGTTTCGGACTGGCCTAAGCAATGGGCCGTGGTGCCCGCCAACTACACCGATAATGACTGGGTACGTGACTCAGACGCGTGCATCCTTGATCAAGCACACACTAACACCTCTTAGGTCTTCCTGGTCCTCACCGGCAACAACGCCAGTTCTACTTTTGGCGCACATCCTGTAAGTTCCTCGCCCATCGCACCCCGATAGGAGCTCGAGCAAAACAGACACCAGACAATCGAGGCATTCCGCTAACATGCTGCGCTTGCACAGATACACTTACACGGCCACGACTTTGCCATCATCAAGCAGGTCGAAAACGAAACCTACCACTACGACTCAGAGGACCCAGCCTTCAAGCTGCCCATCATCAACCCGGCTCGACGTGACGTAGTGCTCCTGCCTACCAACGGCTATGTCGTCATCGCCTTCAAGGCTGACAACCCGGGCAACTGGCTGCTGCACTGCCACATTGCCAAGCACGCATCCGAGGGCCTGGGCTTCCAGATCCTCGAGAGGCAGGCCGACGCCGACGCCCTCTGGCCGCACGGCGACTCGGACGCACTCACCGAGGCCGGCCGCGTGTGCAAGAACTGGAAGGCGTGGCAGCAGGACTGCAGGCACTGGTGGCCGGGCTATAACGCCACGACCAAGTCGTTCCCGTCCTGCCACGTCTTCCAGGACGATTCTGGCATCTGATTCGCACCGGACAGTGCGATACTTGGGCGCCGTTAGTCTCTTTGGTGTCCGGAACGGCTTATGTATGTCGCAACACTAGCCAGATACCTTGCTTAATTCAAAATTTGTTCCAAAGCCAGTTCGTCTAAGTAAATCAATGTTTTTATTGTTAGGAAACTACCTGACTATATCTTTCTTGAAAATCTTCACACTTGAAAAGACTCGCGCCTCCTAATACAAAACGAACGAAAAAGCTCGAAGATTCAAGAGAAATGTCGCGAGGCTCAGCCAGATATAGCGAAAGAACACATCAAAGCTCCACCCACTTATGGGGCACTCTCCGTGTACATGGAAAAGCTTTAGCACAAAGTATATTCTCTACTAGCGAACTAGTTAGTTAGCTCCGGAAGAAAGGCACGGCACGCCGTCACGCGGAGCGATCCAAAAAACAACAAGCCACACAACCTGCCTCCCGTGGGGGAGGGACAACGAAACGCAAAAAGATATCGAAAGCTGGTGAGCTGGCGCTAGCCGGAATCGAACCGGCGTTTTCACGGCAATTTGACTTGCGTGAAAGTTAGTGTTAACTGTACTGGCGTACAACCACAACGTGATGTCCTAACCACTAGACGATAGCACCTGATTCGATGAGAAATCCGAGGTCTTATCCTCCGTTCTGATGGCATTGCAAGAACGGTTGTCAAGTTGGGAACCGTGGGGCCTCTTCTTGGAACCTCTAGACGTGGACATGAAAAAAGACGAGAACACAAGGGAAGTTGTAGCAAGATTAACATTCTATATCCGCGTAGCATGGGAATGGAATGACGGACACGATTAGCTTGGCACAAAAGAACACCGCCAAAATTGCAATGTACCTTCGCACACGCTCTAGACGAGAATGGTGATGGAGATCAAGGGGATATCGTCATCCGCTGCGGCAGAACTTGGTTGACAAAACCAAAGTCTTCGTATTGATATTATTCTTTGACATGGTGGTTGGACCAGTAACGTGTCATAGAAGCGTTGGTGTTTTATCAGTCTAGTACACGTGATCGTTTGCTAATTCATGATAGCCATAAAGTAATATGACGCGTAACGAGTCTGCCCAAGTAAACAGGTGGTATAATGTCCTCCGATGTCTTAAAGCACAATCTTTCATATCAAACATCTCGCTTCTCCGCCTCCTCATGAAACTGCTCTCTTACCGCCATCAAGCACTTGCCAAGCAGGTTCAAGCCCCATCTGCCTTTGTTGACACCGGCTTTAGCGGCGCCAAACCCGACGCCCCAGATCTTGTCATATGGGCTGGCCTCCACGAGCTCCTTGCTACCAGTCTGCAGCAACACCTCCCGGAACGAGACTGCCGTGTACTTGAGCGCGTCTTCGGCATTGCCTAGCTCCCACTCCCGAGGTTTCTTCTGCTCGACCTGCTGTTGCGCCGGCTCGCCCTGGTCATTCCTTGCCGTGGTATATTCGGGCACCGCCTCGCCATCGACAATGGGAAACGAGAACTTGCAGTAGTTCCCCCTCGTGACAATCCGCTCGCGATTGCTGTTCCAAGTCTTGTCATCAAAGCCTTTCACGGTCCTGCCTAACGCCTTGACGGTCTTGGGATCGTTCGCCTCGAGGATTTCGGCCGCGATAGACTCCTCGCCAAAGAGCAGCGCCTTGTGATGCATCATGTAGTGCTCCGCCGTCTTGTACACCTTGCGCGGCTTGTCTGCCTCGTCTATCTCCTCGCGGTCATCGTAGAAAGGTAACCAGTACCACTGCGAGAGGTACCCTACCTCGGGGTTCTCGGGCTTCCAAAAATACAAGTTTCCCTTATCGGTAGCTTCGGTCGTGGTGGATGTGATGGGTGTGGCTCCTCCCTTGTTGGCGTGAGATCTGGTTATGGGTGGTGCATTACTATTGCTCTTCTTGGGAGGCATTGTGGCTGTGGTGGATCGCGCTGATAGGAGACGTTTGTTTGTTGTGTGATAAGAGTGTTGTAGTGGCTGTCGTGGTTGTTTACAGGTATGGTTCAGAATGCTCAAGGATGGATTTGTGTTTAGGGCTGTTGTGGTTTTGAATGGTGTGTAATGGTAGGAGCGACGGAGTGATGCATTAGCTGACAAGGAAGCGCCTGTCTTTACATAGTTGCACAGTGCCATCACCTCGAGATGCTTCCTACAACGCATGTCGACCTTCAGCGCAATGCCGCCTGTAGGCTTCCAGTACGTGACTCTGACCGTGCCATCGCGAATCGACATCAACAGGGCCTTAGCTAGTGGACCTTAGCTAGTGGAACATCAGGCACAAAGGGCGAATTGAGTGGGTGCCCTCCCCGGATGAGTCAGGGGCCATGACCAGCACGCCTGAAGCCCAGAACTCTTGCACAATGAACTCAAACAAGTGCACGGAGAAATGCTGCCCCCGCTCAGCCGCACCGGGCTTTGTCCTGTGCCCATGTAAAGCTGAGCTTTGGTGGCCATCAGCTGGGTCTCTCATGCTGGACGATCTGAACGTGAGGGTGATCACTAGAATTGAGCCCACCCCAATCTAGGGATGAGCAGGACAGTCACAGCGAAAAGATATTTCCCACACCGTAACGGCAAGGAGCGCCGAATTCTTGTCCTTGTGATGTGAATTGGTACATCAACGTAGTACAGCTATCGTCTAACCCACATGATGCAGCAAAAACCTTTGGATCTATCATACAACAATGACATAAAAATGCGCACGCGTGATATGCCTTATGCTCCCCTGGATGCGCAACGCCTAGGCAAGAAATGATACCTCGGGAGAGTAGTGTGGGTGTATCCGGCAAAAGGGTCGTTCGCGATCCAAGCTCCGAAGTTTTGGTGGTTGGGCGAACAGCCCATATATGGTACAATATAACAACAAATGTGGTAATCAGAGGATTTTTGTTTGGCGAGAGTGAAAGCATGCTGTGACAGGGCATGCAATGCGCACTTGTGGTGGCACGTGATGCTTAGATGTAGTCACGGCCGGCCTTTTGCATCTCAATGAGCCTCCACCCTCGTGTGTCGGGGTTGTTTACATCCTCGGGGATGCGAGTGATGCCAATGACATAAGTCACGAGTTGCACCTTGTCCTCCATACCGGCAGCAAGCTGGTTGGTCTTAGCATTCCGGTACACGTGGACCTCCTGCGTTCGGCAAGTAATGATGAAGACGGGAATATCGCCAGGTTCCAGCATGCGGGCCTTGAGAATGTCGACGTGTCGGATGTCGAGGATGCGTCCGTCCGATTTCATGCCGGCGGCCAGGTATTGTTTTGTCAACGCGTCGTAGACAGAATACTGAGCCGCAGACAGCCACAGCTTCAGGGTTTCGGCATCGCCCTTGACGTAAGCGTCCAGGACCTCTGGAAGTATCCAATCCCGCAGCTCTTGCAGGAAGGGCTCAATCTGGAAACGCGGGTCCGTCTCGCGGAATTTTTTGATCACAATGGCAGTCTCGTTCTCGGCGAAGAAGCTGGCAAACTTATCCGTGATGCTCCGCGCAGTAGAGATGAGAGGGTTTTCGGATTCGTTGTAGACATTCTTCATATTCGAGAAGCCTTGGGCAACCTTACTCTGGTCACGGAAGTCTCTCCAGGCTTCTTTCCAGGCGGCGTCCTTGTGCAGAGTCACATTTGTGCCAGCGCTGATGTTCTATGATTAGCAAGCCGCACTTGTAAAGCTGAGCTCATCGAGAAGACGGCAAACTTTGTACTTACTCGGGATTCTCAACCAAGGGATCGTTGCTGCCGCCATTCTCAGCTGCACGCCGCTTCTCACGAGCTTCCCTGGCCTTCTTGCGCTCTTCTTTCTCGACCCAGCCACCATATTTGGAGCTGCTGCCGTCGTCAATAACTTCCTTGACATTCTTGTATGCCTCAGTCTCTCTTATCGGCTTCGTGGCCTTATCGAGCGCCTCGCCGGTCACGTTGGCGCCCTTGCGGATACCCTTCATGACTGATGTGTCCCATGTCCATTCGGCACCCTTGCCGATGACCGTGGCAGAAGTCTTGAGTACTTTACCAGCGGTATCACTGACAGCACTCGTAGTAGTGGAGTACCCCTCGCGGAGCTTGCGAACACGCTCGCTCTCCATGAACTGGTGGCTGGAGTCGGAAAGCTGTTTGGTCGATTCGTTCCACTCCTTGGAGGCCTTGAATTCGCTCTGCATAGTCTCCGTGAAAACCTGCCAAGGGGTCTTGTCTCCGTGGGGAGGCGGGGGCGGAAGATCCTCTTCCTTCTCCTTCTGTTCGCCCTCTTCTGATTTCTTTTCCTTTTGCTCTTTTCCATCCTTCTTCTCGTCTTGTTGCTCTTGGGGGTGTTCCTCCGAGGCCTGCTCCTTGGGTGCCTCGGGATGCTCGGATTTCTCTTGCTCGGGCTTCACAGGCTTCGGGTCAACCTCGCCGACGTAGGGCTCCTCCTCCACAAATGGGCGAGGGGCGACATTGGGTCGGTCCTGAGAGGCGTTGAAGTTGAGGTCTTTGGGCTTGCCGACTTTGGCATCGAATGCGGCCGAGTAGGAGAAGGGGCGTGCCTGCACAAGAGCTATTGACTCGGGCACAAAGGAAGATCGTAGCGAAGTGATCGAGAAGTCGTGTGCGCGGGCGCATGGGGCGGCGAATCTGGGAGAGGAGAGCGCCGCACCAGAGAGCAGGCGTATCGACGCTGGTGACCTAGTAGAGAGGCGGGACGCAGGTGTGGCGACTCTCGGCAGGGCCAAAGAGGACGCAGCCGAGCCGCGCGAGATCTGCCGTATTGAGGCCATGATGGCTGTTGGGTGACGACCGAGCTCTCGATCCTAACAAAAGGATGCAAGAGCGAGGGCAGCGGCGGTGAAGGTGGTAGTCGAGTACGCGGGGATCGAGACGGCGACGAGGGCCGACGATGGGGTGGATGGAGAAGGCCAGAAGCGCAGGCGGCGGTTTTCGTCAAGGACTCGCAGCTTCGGCCGTGGCCGGACCCAGAAAAAAATCGCAGGCGCGGGCATCCATGACCTCTGCCCAAGCCGGGCAGGCACGGCAAGTCAGACCCTTTATCGGCTATCGTCGATGTCATGAATACAGTGCGGGATGACCCTCGATAACCCCGCACTATGCACTGTGCTACGTCGGACGTTGGCTGAAGTGCCGCTGGTCGCCAGGCCCAATTTTTCGGATTTCACAATTGTAGACGACGAACATCACGAGAACAGCCGTCGGAACGCGAGATCTCTGCCGCCCAGCACGCGCCCGAATGATTTCGACATGACGCAACCATCAGGTCGGCTCTTCGCCGCCGCGTCAGGGAGCTTCGCGGGCATTCCCCGTGCTTTCGCCCGTCAAACCACCCGCCAAATCGCCCGCCCTTTTTCACAGACATGCCTCCGTCGCAATGCCGACTCCGTTCGGCCACCGGGCCCAGGCTCTCCCTCGACGTCAAGCTCGAGCTCAGGCATGTCTGAGTTGCAGGCCATCTTAAGCGCCACGACAAGCGGCAACAACCTCGCGAGCGACACGATGGCGCGGGCGCTCAATCGGCCCTCGTCTGCCTCGACATCGCAGTCCGAAGACTCGATCCTCGGGGCCAATCTCTCGGGCTGGAACCCGGAATGGGGGCCCGTGTCGGAGCCCTTCCACTTCCACGTCTACTCGCACAAGCATAACACGCATGTCACCGTTACTAAACCCAACCGTGACGCCATCGTCAGCATGAGCGCGGGAAACCTCGGCTTCAAGAAGTCCAAGCGCGGCACTTACGACGCCGCGTACCAGCTTGTCGCTCACGTCATGGACAAGCTGCACCAGGGCAACTGGCACCGCAATATACATCAGCTCGAGATCGTCCTGCGCAGCTTCGGCCAGGGTCGTGAGGCGGCCATCAAGATCTTGCTCGGCTCAGAGGGACGGTTGTTCCGCGAGAAGATTGTCCGCATATCGGACGACACACGGATCAAGTTTGGTGGCACAAGGAGTCAGAACCCCAGGAGACTGGGTTGAATTGTCCCTCGGGAATATCTCGAGGGGTTGTGGATTCCAGTCGGACGCGGGCTCTACCACTGGAACCGAGTTTGTCAAGATAGATTCACCTTGATGGACAATGATATGTACTTCATCAAAGTTAGTAAAATGTACCAATACACATCAAGCTGCGGGTGGTTGAACGCGATCATGCATGCATGCGGATCGCGACCATGTTGACCAGTGGCCGGCCCCTATCGCACAAGCTTTTATGGATGAATGACCATGCTGAAGTTGAGCAACAACATTCGTAGACCCAAGATTTTGAGTCGCCGGGATCAACCGCAGATCCAGTTTTGGGCTGTACTCGGGCTGGAGTTTGATCAGCTTATGATGTTGTGGTTGCACGACATTCTCATGCAACGTCCTCATCATGCAAGGCAAAAAAGATACTATAACACCACTGAAGGGACTCGTCGGAGACCCAAAGCTCGGCCAAACAAAAACGTGGACAAAAAAGAACATATTGGAGGCCCGAACCGGGATTTGAACCCGGGACCACCTGCATTTCAGTTTGAAAACCCCAAAGCAGGTATCATACGACTAGACCATTCGGGCGAGTGATTACGTAAAAGAGCTGGACTTTGTAAGCATCTATATATGTGTAGTCAGAGCACAGCTGCAAGTCTGGCGATTGAGCCATCACCCGACTTCTATCCCAAAATCAAAGTCACGACAAATAATTTCTAAGTGTGTAGAGCAATGATATCACGCCTGTGGGATCAAAAGAACTGCAGACCAAGTTGTATTGTAAGATCGCGGTGACGCTGTAATGAAATATCCTTGCAAAATGAAAATGATTCGTCGTCTCGCACAATAGAGTAATGTAGAAACATCAAATGGCTTTAGCGTGGTTGTCTCTCATAGACACTATAATCCAATCACAAATTTAGCCGTTTATATCTAGATAAGTCTTCATTTGCCAGCTTTCCCACATGCCGAGACCTGTTACTGCCAAATCCCCTATTCAGCAGTCGAGGTGCCACCTGCATCGCCAGCCCGTCAGCACACGCTTCTTCTATAACTGCAGAAGGAAAGAGACATGATGTCCCAAACTTACACATATTCAAGACTGTCGTCATAGCTCCGCTCGCCGCCGTGCTCGCAGCCCACCCACTCCCGGGTCCAGGCGTCGACGGCCTGGTTGCTGGAGACGGTCCTGTCGCCGCCGTGGTTCTTGACCAGGACGTTGAGGCACTTGCCGTCCGACGTCTTGCCCGTCTTCTTGAACTCCTTACCCGCGCCGAGCGTGCCCATCTGCAGCTCGCAGCCCGCGGCGTAGAAAAACTCGATGACCTCGATGCCGTGATCCGGACGGCTGTTCTTGCCACCGAAGCACCGGGCCGTGGCGCCAGAGGCGCAGGCGAGGACAAAGGCGAGGGTTGTGGTGAAGGTGAAGGAGTGCATTGTGAGAGAGGAAGTTGAGAAGATGTGTTGAACGATAAGATAATGACGACGATGGTTTTCTTTGGCAGGAATTCTATCAAATTGGGTTGATTGTTGGGATGCCAAAAGAGATGCTGGTCGGGAAATGGTGCAAGTATGAATGGTTCTTATTGAGTTATCTCATAGATTGATGCGAATAGGAAGTGAGGAAAATTACGGTAAAATAATTGTTTCGATCATGGTGTTCATATATGTCACGTTGATTCCGAGTCTGAAATGGTCACTTACGTTCTCCCGGGGACTAGTTCTCGTAAAAGTGCCCCCAAAATAGAATACGAAGGTTGTGGTCTAGGTCAGCGAAGCCCCCAAATCCATCTACTAAAATTCTAGTTGTCGTTAGTCGCAGGCCACCGAGCTATGGCGTGCTCGATTCGGCACAGCAAGCTCCTGGATGTACTTGCACGTGGAAGCCCGTGCCGGGCCGCTCCTGTGCATGGGTTCCTGGAGGAAATACCGGGGTAGAGAAGCCGCTCAATGAGGAGAGCCTGCTCGAATCGGCAAGGGCAAAGGCGATGTAACCCAATCAGAAGTTGCACAGCCCAACTATAAATAGCTGAATACATGGTTGTTCAACTATCGCGCAAGTCGTTTACGCACATTTGGCGACTTGGATGGAATTCGAAGCACGTAGGTTTAGATTTAGCAATTATAAGCTGTTGCCTGGGGGCAAATAGGTTAGCTGACATTCCAGGCTGAGCAATAATGCAGCCGGCTGAGCCCCTTATCCCTGAACCGCGGGCGAAAAATAGGTTCCAAGTCCCTAGCTCTTAAGAATAACTTGTCCGAGCATTTGAAGGTAGAATGTAAACACGCAAGGCGGTATACATAAAGTTGACGTCGGTCCCTAATTTCGTATCTACCATCCCTATTAATTTCTCCACTAAACTTCCTCTACTACTTTTGTGAAAACTTTCATACGCAACCCTCCCTTCTATTCGTTTACTAGCATTGTGCAATCAAACTACGAGCCATCATGTACTCTACTCAAGGTCTTCAAGTGGCCATCGCTAGCTTGGTCTGGGCTCAAGCGGTAATTAGGCATCGACCCAACGAAGAAGACCATGCGCTCCATTCTCTGACAAATGCACATCTACTTTAGATTTTCGGCAACCCGATAGTATTCAAGCGCAGCGCACCGACACTGCGAATGTGGCCTGCCACAATCACCGATATGCGCAACGGCACCACTGAGCCTTACAACGCCAGCACCAACAACAACAACAACAACAACAACAACAACGATGTCCTGTCACTCCGAGACCTGGAAACGCGCGGCTTCCCGAGTTGGCAGGATATCGAGTGTGGTGCCCTCGGTGGCTCGCTGGACAAGTACGAAGAGGGCAAGAAGCGCTTCCAGTACTGGACGAGCGCCGTCGCGACTGGGGGGCTCACGTTTCTCAAGTATGAGCTGCAAGACGCCATCTGCCGCGACAACGAGGTCTGCGACCTGGCCATCACAGGCGCGGTCCAGGCCGTGGGTTTGTTTGGGGGCAGCAACCCCGCCGCCGACCACTTCTTCGACGACGCCTTCGATGCGGTCCGCTCGCGCTGCGGATCGAGCGGCGGCAGGAGCAACCTCATCGTCGACGTTAGGCCGTCCGTCAACGTTTGCGGCAAGCCGACGTGCACCGTCGATGGCAGGATGGGGCTCCAGGTCGCGACCTTTGACGCGCAGTTCTACGTCCACGACGGCGGGGACACATGCCCAGCAGACACGGTCCAGTCGATCTGCAAGATAGAGAGATTCTAGAATGTGCAGGGTCACGTCGAGGAGGTCTTGTTGCTCACGCCTTCCTAGATCCCCGGAATATAACAGACAGAAAATCGGGGCTCTAGATCTGGCGATGGAAATACTCTTGTCACGTAGCCATAGTCGCAATGGGTATAATTCTTGCGGGCATTGTCAGGCGAAATAGGGGATTTCATGAGTCGTAGGTAGCATGTGAGTGTGCAGGCATGCAGGCGGACGCCAGCGAAGGCATTACCGCACAACAGCTGTCTGGCTTCACGAGCTGCGTGTATCAATACTTCGCGGTATGTGAAACAGACCCTGGAAATAAAAAGATGCCTAGCATGCTATATCCACACTATATCAGAGCCTCAAGCTCTTTCAGGAAACCACGTGGCCAAAACCGCGCGTATCAAGATCATGCTTTTCCCCCCTTTTTCTCTTTTTTTTTCTCCCATCAATCAGGATTTACTTGGCGGCGGTAGGTGAGATTTTTGTTGACTGCCCAAGGAGCCGTGACGGACACACCAGCCATTGTGTAAGCTGACTAGCTTCGCCTACGCCCACCTAGTCGCACAAAGTGGTGTGAACGCTTGGAGAAATTCTTGGCAGGGCACTGTGTGGGATTCCATCCGCCTCAACATTGATCGCCAAGCTTGGCCCTCTGGGACCCTTGATTTTTATGGATGTGGTGACCCCGCCGCGCTGCTGGGCTTGGAATAGTGACCCCTGACGCAGTTGAGCACTGCCGGAACAAGCACCAATGCGAGACAGCACTATCTGCCCATGCCATGAGAACGCGGGGAGGTGACACAGGAGCAGGGGCTACTTGGGTCTAGATTTCGAGAGCGGTAGAGCTTTGTCCCATCCCGCGGGTAGCTCTAGGCTGTTCCGGCTGCGAGCTAAGGTCGAAGTCTGGCAAATCAGGGAGTGTTTCCAATCTGCACAAGGGTGTAGATGATCAGCATCACATGTGCATGATGTCGGGACGCTCTGACGAGGCAACAGCAAGACCAACGGCTGGAGCCGCCGAGTACGTAGTCTATGGCCTTGGCTGGAATTCGGCCGAGTCTGCTGAAGGCATTCACGCCCAACAAGCACGCAGAACGAATGTGGCGTATGCAGGCTTCACGACGGGACGGCACCCCGCATCGCCATGATGGACCCTGATCAAGTTCAGCTGAAAGCATTCATGCCCAAGAATGCACGCGTACTGCTTAAAGAAAAGTGGCGTACTTGGTGGCGTATATAAGCAGAGGGGTGAAGGAGAGCCGGCAACTCCCGGAGTCTGCGACCGTCTCCATCACTACCGCATACCTAACTCGAAGCAGTTGCGACTTTGAAGGCCTGTGCCGCCCCAAGGCAGAACTGTCAACTATTTCCCCTTTTCAGCGTTACGCGGCTCGGTAGCAATGACCATAGTGGTGAGCAGGCGGGATACCAACGTCTCTTTATCTCCCCCCACCTATTTCGGTTGGTTGTGACTGGCTGTAACCGGGTAATGCATCTGACAGCCGCTGCAGAAGGGCCGACAGAGACTGTTGGATTGGCATGCAGGACATGGTACTCTTTCGGATGTGCGACTGCTACGCGGAGGAATCTCACTGCAGCCACGACAAGATGGCTACGGCCAATTGTGTGCCGCAGGTCAGCGATACTCCCTTTCGGTGGACTCTCTGGGCCGTCCCGCATACTCACCCTAGCATGTGTAGATGCTCTAGTGTGTGTACTTACCCAGATGCAAGTAGTCTACACGGCTTACAAGACACGGCAGAGTCGGGACTGCCAGTATGACGTCCAATGGAGCGGCTCCGTCTCGGATCACTGCTATACCTAGCGTCACACTGGTCTGCTAGCCGATTAGTATCTAGGGAAGCGACTGACAAGTGCTGGATGACCATGCATGCTGGTCTTACATGCGTTGGGGTATGGCAGCACGATGAGAGAAGGCGGGACCCTCCTGGTTTCCAGATGGGATTCATGTATGCTATGTGTCTTGTAAGAACAAGACTCGACCTGGAAGATGTATAAAAGACCGAAGTCAGCCACGGTTTTCTAAGAGTCTCGCTCACCTCCTAACATCCCAGACAGACACCCACAATCCCCTTTATCATATTCTCAACATCCTTAGCCCAAGATGGATGCCTTCACTGGCAACGAGTTCATCCCGGGCACGCCGGCCTATGACCGTGCCAACAACATCTACGCCTCGTCAACCTACGGCATCGAGCGCAACATGAGTCCCATGAAGATCCTGCAGCCCGCGTGTATCGAGGACATCCAGGTCATCGTCAAGAATGCCACCGATCAAAAAATCCCCATCGCCATCCGCACCGGTGGGCACCAGTACAGCGGCGCCTCTTCTACAGGTCCCCATGGCATC